AATGAATAATGACCCCCACCATCACCACCACCACCATCCGGGGCCCGTTGCACTCTCAAGTTGAAGGTGACTGGGTGGGTGGGTAGGTGAGTGGACAGGTTGGTGAGTGGGCAGATGGGTGGGTAGGTGAGTGGACAAGTTGGTGAGTGGGCAGGTGGGTGAGTAGGTGATTGGACAGTTTGGTGAGTGGGCAGTGGGGTGGGTAGGTGAGTAGACAGGTTGGTGAGTGGGCAGGTGGGTGAGTAGGTGAGTGGACAGGTTGGTGAGTGGGCAGGTGGGTGGGTAGGCGAGTGGACAGGTTGGTGAGTGGGCAGGTGGGTGGGTAGGCGAGTGGACAGGTTGGTGAGTGGGCAGGTGGGTGAGTAGGTGAGTGGACAGGTTGGTGAGTGGGCAGGTGGGTGAGTAGGTGAGTGGACAGGTTGGTGAGTGGGCAGGTGGGTGGGTAGGCGAGTGGACAGGTTGGTGAGTGGGGCAGGTGGGTGGGTAGGCGAGTGGACAGGTTGGTGAGTGGGCAGGTGGGTGAGTAGGTGAGTGGACAGGTTGGTGAGTGGGCAGGTGGGGTGAGTAGGTGAGTGGACAGGTTGGTGAGTGGGCAGGTGGGTGAGTAGGTGAGTGGACAGGTTGGTGAGTGGGCAGGTGGGTGAGTAGGCGAGTGGACAGGTTGGTGAGTGGGCAGGTGGGTGAGTAGGTGAGTGGACAGGTTGGTGAGTGGGCAGGTGGGTGAGTAGGTGAGTAGACAGGTTGGTGAGTGGGCAGGTGGGTGAGTAGGTGAGTGGACAGGTTGGTGAGTGGGCAGGTGGGTGAATAGGTGAGTAGACAGGTTGGTGAGTGGGCAGGTGGGTGAGTGGGCAAGTAGGTGAGTGGGCAGGTGGCTGGGTGGGTGGGTAAGTAAGTGGACAGGTGGCTGGGTGGGTAGGTGATTGGGCAGGTGGGTGAGTGGGCAGGTGAGTGAGTGGGAAAGTAGGTGAGTGGGCAGGTGGCTGGGTGGGTGAGTCTGTAGGTGAGTGGACAGGTGGCTGGGTGGGTCTGTAGGTGAGTGGACAGGTGGGTGAGTGGGCAGGTGGGTGAGTGGGCAGGCAGGTGAGTAGACAGGTAGGTGAGTGGACAGGTGGGTGAGTGGGCAGGTGGGTGAGTGGGCAGGCAGGTGAGTGGACAGGTAGGTGAGTGGGCAGGTGGGTGAGTGGGAAAGTAGGTGAGTGGACAGGTGGCTGGGTGGGTGCGTAGGTGAGTGGACAGGTGGGTGAGTGGGCAGGTGACTGGGTGGGTGGGTAGGTGGGTGAGTGGGTGCGTGGGCAGGTGGGTGAGTGGGCAGGTGGTTGTGTTGGGTTGGTGGGTGGGTAAGTAGGTGAGTAGGCAGGTGGTTGCTTAAGCGGGTATGACCACCCTCATCGAGACAGTTATACCGATGTGTGAGAGGTAGGAGAGTGCGTGGAGGGGAGTAAAGTAAGATGAGAGGGGAGAGGCAGGTTGCTTCGGGTCCACGGAGGACCATGAAGCCGATCGTTGCAATCTCACGGTTGGCCCCGCACCTCCGATTAGCGCGGTTGGCCACGTACGGTGCGAAATAAGTTCAACACACGCACGTGCACACCGCCCATAGACTCAACACCGCACCTCCGATTAGCTCGGTTCGGCTATGCGCGGTTGCGAGAGAAGTTCAGCGTTCGTACGGTAACATTCGAATATAGAGGGACAAAACGGTGAACGATCACGTGACTTTTTCAGAGGGAGGGGGGGGTAGCCTAAAGCGGAATGAAAACGGTGACGTGGCGGTGCCATGGTGGCACATCACGAATGCAAGAGGGCAAAGCGAACGCTGACGCTCACTCACGGCTTCCGCCCACCCGACTACGGACTCACTTGCTCACCCACCCGCCCGTTCGCCCACTCACCCGCATGCTAGCCCACTCACCCGCTCGCTCACCCACTCACCCGCTCGCTCACCCACCCATCCGCTTAACCACTCACCCACCTACTCACTCACCCATCTACTTACTCACCCATCCCCTATGGGCAGTGTTGAGTCTATGGGCAGTGTTGAGTCTATTGTGCAGTGTTGAGTCTATGGTGAAGTGTTGAGTCTATGGGTAGTGTTGAGTCTATTGTGCAGTGTTGAGTCTATGGTGCAGTGTTGAGTCTATGGTGCAGTGTTGAGTCTATGGTGCAGTGTTGAGTCTATGGTGCAGTGTTGAGTCTATGGTGCAGTGTTGAGTCTATGGGTAGTGTTAGCCACTGAGCCAGCCGCCGAGCCCGTCACCGTAATCGGAGTCGACACCGACACTTGGCTCATTTCACGCTCCGCTGGAGCTCCGCTCTCGTCACACCGAGCTTCCCGCTAACGCCGCTGGCGGCGGCGGCGGCGGCAGGCCGGTCCCCTTTCCTTCGCACGTCCCCCCACCACTGCCCCCACTGCGTTTATCGCCGTGCTCCGATATCATCGGCAACTTCCGCTCGCTCGGCTCGTCCCGGCCCGGCGGTTCACAAGGGTGGTCAAGGGGAACGCCACGGTGGCTATGAGATGTTAACTACCTCGCCTGATGTACAGGAGGTCGTGGGTTCGATCCCGACCCTAACACCTGCTGCTGTATATTTGGAGTTTGCGTGTCTCTCTCTCTCATCATCATCACGGTGGCTAGGAGATGTTAACTACCTCGCCTGGTGTACAGGAGGTCGTTGGTTCAATCCCGACCCTGACACCTGCTGCTGCTGTATATTTGGAGTTTGCTTGTCTCTCTCTCATCATCATTACGGTGGCTAGGAGATGTTAACTACCTCGCCTGGTGTACAGGAAGACGTTGGTTCGATCCTGACCCTGACAACTGCTGCTGTATGTTTGGTGTTTGCTTGTCTCTCTCATCATCATCACGGTGGCTCGGAGATGTTAACTACCTCGCCTGGTGTACAGGCGGTCGTGGGTTCGATCTCGACCCCGACGCCTGTTGTACGTTTGGAGTTTGCGGCGTCTCCCTCTCTGTCACCGTGGCCGCGTGGATTTTTCTCCGGTTTATCCTCCCCCTTAATTTAGAATCGACATCGCCACGCGTGCCGATTATTTGGGAGCAACTTCGTTGAGCTATCGTTTGTGGTAGGCAGGTGATCGCTTCTGACAAAAGAGCTAGGCAGCAGCTCATTGAGGCCTTACCTGGCAAAATAAAAAGAAATAGCTTAGTAGAATGAGAATAAAATAATAAATTGATAAAATAAAATAACACAATAATATTCAGGACAGCGCTGTCCTCCAGCAAGTCTCGTCCCTTCACCTGATGAAGGCCACTTGTGTTGTGGCCGAAACGTCGTGAGAATATTATTGTGTTATTTTATTTTATCAATTTATTATTTTATTCTCATTCTACGTGACTTTACCGAAAGAACCAAAGAAGATGAATCCTTGCAGTCACGAAAGCTTTAAATCGAAAAATAGGTTAGTAGTTTAGTCTATGGGTCTCTATGTATCTCTGTGGATCTCTCTGGGTCTCTATTCATCGCTATGTGTCACTATGGGTTTCTATGTATCTCTGTGTCTCTATGGATCTCAATTCATCGCTATGTGTCTCTATGAATCTCTGTGTCTCTATGGGTCTCTATGTGTCCCTATGGGTCTCTATGTATCTCCATGTGTCTCTATGGGTATCTATGTATCTCCATATGTCTCTATGGGTCTCTATGTATCTCCATATGTCTCTATGGGTCTCTATGTAAGTCCATGTGTCTCTATGGGTCTTTATTCATCTTGATGAATCTCTGTCTCTTAGTGTCTCCATGTGTCTCTATGGGTCTCTATGCATCTCCATGTCTCTATGGGTCTCTATGAGTCTCTATTCATCTTGATGAATCTCTGTCTCTCTTAGTGTCTCCATGTATCCCTATGTGTCTCTATGCATCTCCATGTGTCTCTATGGGTATATATGCATCTCTGTGGGTCTCTATGTATCTCTATGGGTTTATATGTATCTCTATGGGTTTATATGTATCTCTATGGGTCTCTATGTATCTCTATGGGTCTCTATGTATCTCTATTGGTCTCTATGTATCTCTGTGGGTCTCTATGTATCTCTATGGGTTTCTATGTATCTCTATGGGTCTCTGTGTAAGTCCATTTGTCTCTATGGGTCTCTATGCATCTCCATATGTCTCTATGGGTATCTATGCATCTCCATGTCTCTATGGGTATCTATGTATCTCCATGTGTCTCTATGGGTCTCTCTGTAAGTCCATGTGTCTCTATGGGTCTCTATGCATCTCCATGTGTCTCTATGGGTCTCTCTGTAAGTCCATGTGTCTCTATGGGTCTCTATGCATCTCCATGTGTCTCTATGGGTCTCTATGCATCTCCATGTGTCTCTATGGGTCTCTCAGTGTCTCTGCGCACTGAGAGAACGTGGCTGCTGCTACCTCAAATCTCCACGTTGATGTTAAGCCGCCACCTGCTTGAGCTGTCATTTGTGATCATGCACGGAGCTCAGTGGGACCTTACACGTGGCGGAAGGGTCGCGAGTCGATCGAACCGCGGGGGGTTGTGGAAATTACACGTTGCTATGGCAAGGCCGTGGGGTCTTCCCGCAGGACAGCCACCGCGGCTGTGCACGGGGTGAAGCGTTGATCATTTTACGGCGACGGTGGTGACGGCAGTGATGAGGATGTTTGCGATGACTATGGTGATGACAATGTTGATGGTGTTGATGACGACGACGATGACGACGAAGTTGATGACGATGCTGAGAATGTTGATGATGACGACGACGATTTAGACGAAGTTGATGACGACGGTGATGACAATGATGATGATGACGACGATGATAATGACGACGATCATGGCGAAGTTGATGACGACGATGACAGTGTTAATGATGACGATGCTGATGATGACGACGACGACGATGTTGATGACGACGGTGATGACGACGACGGCGACGATGACGATGTTGACGGCGACGATCATGATGACGGTGTTGATGACGCCGACGATCTTGACGACGATGACGACCACCCAACCCAACCAGGTCCCCGAGGAGAGCGTCCATTGAAAACTGCGATGTCCGCCTGCGAGCGTCGGACATCGCTCACGAGGCGTCTGGACGAGACCCGAAGCTCACGGGGTTCGCCGATGACGACGACGACGACGACGACGGCGACTCGGAAGACCTGGGCATTGGTGGGCTTCCTCCACCCTGCCTCAAGCAGGTCAGCTCACGGGCACGCCGTGGGTGGCGAGGAGATGTTGACTACCTCGCCTGGTACACAGGAGGTCGTGGGTTAGATCTCAACCCTGACGCCTACTGCTGCTGCTGTATATTTGGAGTGTGTGTGTCTCTCTCTCTCTCATCATCATCACGGTGGCTATGAGATGTTAACTAACTCGCCTGGTGTACAGGAGGTCGTGGGTTCCATCCCGACCCTGTGACGCCTGCTGTATATTTGGAGTTTGCGTGTCTCTCTCTCTCTCATCATCATCACGGTGGCTATGAGATGTTAACTACCTCGCCTGGTGTGCAGGAGGTCGTGGGTTCGATCCCGACCCTGACACCTGCTGCTGTATATTTGGAGTCTGCGTGTCTCTCTCTCTCTCATCATCACAGTGGCTAGGAGATGTTAACTAACTCGCCTGGTGTACAGGAGGTCGTGGGTTCCATCCCGACCCTGTGACGCCTGCTGTATATTTGGAGTTTGCGTGTCTCTGTCATCATCATCATCACGGTGGCTAGGAGATGTTGACTACCTCGCCTGGTGTGCAGGAGGTCGTGGGTCCGAACCCGACCCTGACACCTGCTGCTGCTGCTGTATATTTGGCTGCTGCTTTACATTTCCACGTGGTGATGATGACGATTGTGACGAGCCCACTTCGTTGAGCTATCATTAGGTGTGGCCAGGTCGCTTCCGAAAAAGAAGCTACATAGATCAGTGGGGCCTTGCCCGGTAAAATAAAAAAAAATAGTTCAGTCGAGTTTTAGTTTCGCCGCTCCGTCGCGGGAGGTTCGGGGCACGAATCTGGCGTCCACGACCACCTTGTACACCGGGCGAAGTAGTTAACATCTCATAGCCGCCGTGGCGAAAGGCGCGAGCAAGGGGGGGCTGTCGCCTTTAACGGTGACCCCTCTCACTCGTCGCCCCCAACACTACCCCCCCCCCCCGCCTTCACCCCCCGCCTCCACCCCCTGCCCCCTCCACCCCCCCCCAACTTCCCCCACCCCCCCGCCCTTCTCCACCGCCCCCCCACCTCCATCCCCCCTCCACCCCCCTCCAACTCTATCCTCCCCACCTCCACCCCCTGCCCCACCCCCCCACCTTCCCCCACCCCCCCACCTTCCTCCACCCACCCGCCCCCCTCCACCCCCCCACCTCCACCCCTCCACCTCCACCCCCTCCACCCCCACCCGCCCCTCTCTACCCACCCCCCCCGCCCCTCTCTACCCACCCCCCGCCCCTCTCCACCCCCCCCCACCTCCACCCCCTCCACCCCCACCCGCCCCTCTCCACCCCCCCCCCCCCCCAGGTGTACCCCAGGTTCTCCAGGCAGTTCTCACACCTGCGTGTAGTGGAGCGGGCAGCTCGACTCTTCCTGCGCTTCCTGGGACTCCGCGGCGACGCCTCCCTGCGCATGGGCCCCACGGAGTTCCGCACCTTCAGCAGGTGGGGGGGGGGGGGGGGAGGTGTGGGGGGGGGGGGGGGCTCGAGCTGGGGGGAGGGGGCGACGTGGTGGTGGCGGTGGTGGCGGTGGCCGAGTGGCCGCTCACAGCCAACGACACCGGCGACGGTTTTCTGAAAAGGGTCCTGGGCCTCACCTAGGTCGACTCGGCCTCAAATGAGCACCTGGTGCGGTGTGTGTAGTAAATATTCGCCACTGGGGGAGACAAAGGCGGCCGGGGGCGTGGTGCTGGGCCACCCACCCCCTCGTGTGCCACAGTGCCGGCCTTCGTAGGTGCTCGTTAGCAGCACTTGCCCCTTACAGGCTGCTCAGGCTATACGGGGGATCTTTGTGTTGGTGGCGGCAGTGGTGACGGGGGCAGTGGTGGCGGTGGTGGTGGTGGTCGTGGTGGTGGTTGTGGTGGTGGTAACGGTGGTGGTGATGGTGGTGGCAGTGGTGGTGGCAGTGGTGCTGGTGGTGGTGCTGGTGGCGGTGGTGGTGCTGGTGGTGGTGCTGGTGGTGGTGATGGTGGCAGTGCTGGTGGTGGTGGTGCTGGTGGTGGTGGTGCTGGTGGTGGCGGTGGGCGACCGCGCTCGTTATAAGACGGATCTGTCGCGATCGTGGGGCTCCGGTTGAAGTAACAGAGCCTTCTTCCATAATTCATCTGCCCCCCCCCAGCCTCATTTCATCTTCATTTGTTGGCTCATCAAAGATGAACGGCTGTGCCTAATCATCGCCCAAGGGGGCTGGGAGTGGAGGGAGCGAAATCGGATGTTTTGTAACCAAGCTGTTGGAGAAAGAGAGATGTTGCTGCCATCATTATTCAGCATTTGTTATTCAAACAAAACAAAAAACTCTTCGTTGGTTCTTTCGGTAAAGTCAGGCACGTCGCCGACAGAGATTTGAAGCTCTGTCGTCCCGACAGGTTTGTACCTTTCACCTGATGAAGGCCGCTTGCGTTGTGGCCGAAACGTCGTGAGAATTTTATTGTGTTATTTTATTTTATCAATTTATTATTTTATTCTCATTCTACGTGACTTTACCGAAAGAACCAAAGAAGATGAATCCTTGCAGTCACGAAAGCTTTAAATCGAAAAACTATTTGAACAATTTTTTTATTTTGCCAGGTAAGACCCCCCCCCCCCGCCCACCTGAGCTGTATGTAGCTTTTTTCAGAAGCGACCTCACCACAAAAGATAGCTCAACGAAGTGGCTTATCATCGTCGCGTGGAAACCTACAGCTGCCAGATACTCTTAACGCGTGGTGATGCCGCTTCTAAATGTGGAGAGAAATCATCGGAGGTACCCGGAGAAAAATCCACGCAAGCCACGGGGACAGAGAGAGACACGCAAACTCCAAATATACAGCAGCAGCATCAGGCGTCAGGGTCGGGATTGAACCCACGACCTCCTGTACACCAGGCGAGGTAGTTAACATCTCCTAGCCACCGTGATGATGATGAGAGAGAGAGACACGCAAACTCCAAATATACAGCAGCAGCAGGCGTCAGGGTCGGGATCGAACCCACGACCTCCTGTACACCAGGCGAGGTGGTCAACATCTCCTAGCCACCATGGCGTCCAGCTACCACCAGCCGTCGCCAGGTACTGCGAACATCTTGTTTTATATTTTGTTATTTTATTGTTTCCCTTCTACGTGACTTCACCGAAAGAACCAAGAATATCTTCCCTCTCGTCTCGGGCCTTGAACACGGCGATGCGACGTCGCCGTTCTCCAGCGGCAGCGGTGGTGCCGCGCGCCGAAGCCGTGGCGAACGGGCACGCTCTGCCCATCACGTCACGCCCCCGTGGCAGGCGGAGGATGACGTGCGACGCGCATCGCCATTTTTGCCCGTCGAACGCAGACGGTCTCGAGGCGGGCAAAATTACGGTGCGCGGCATCGCGCCCGCGGCGCTTTCGCGTGCGCCGCTTCTGCGTCCGTCTGGAACGCTCTCTTTCCCCTTGCGATATTGGACAGCTCCATGGGAGCCTACGCGCTGTTAAACCTAGATTGTGAACGCACGCCTTTCGGACTGGGTACGGTGCCAAAGAAGTTCAACATACACACACACGCACGCACACACACGCACGCAGCAATGATGATGGCTCGTGGCCACCTGGATCTTCTTGTCGGCCCTCAGGAACTGCAAGCTGTGCACTCCCAGCATCAGCATGGCCTACATTGACATCCTCTACATCGACGTAACGCGACGCTGGAACTGCACGGCACTCCAAGAGACGGGTACCACGCCGGCGTCGACATCATCGTCACGGCCAACGATCATCGTCACGGCCGCGATCATCGTCACGGCCGCGATCATCGTCACCGCCAACGATCGTCGTCACGGCCACGATCATCGTCATCGTCACCGTCACCAACATGACGCGTCGTTTTATTGCTGTGCCGTCCTCGCCGCGATCGTCGACCGTCATTTATCGTGGCCATCATGATTATTATAGTCACGTGATTAGTGTAATCATGATTATTATTATAATCATGAGCAGTGTCCTTTATCTTGTGATGGTAGGCCTAGTGGGTGGGTGGGTGGGCGCGTGGGCGGGCGGCTGCGGTGGGTCAGCGGGTGAATGAATGGGTGATTAATTGGGGGGAGTGGGTGAGTATGTATGTGAGTGGGCGAGTATGTATGTGAGTGGGCGTGCGAGTGAGCGAGTGGGTGAGTGGGTGGGGGAGTGTGGGTGAGCAGGTGAGTGGGTGAGTGTGTGAGTGGGTGGGTGAGCAAGTGAGTGAGTGGTTAAGTGAGCGAGTGGGTGAGTGGGTGGGGGAGTGTGGGTGAGCAGGTGAGTGGGTGAGTGTGTGAGTGAGTGGTTAAGTGGGTGAGTGGGTGGGGGAGTGTGGGGAGCGGTAGTGTAGTCGCGGTCAGCGCTACGCTGCGCCCCGAACCCGGCGACCCGGGTTCGATTCCTGCTCACGGCCAACACCAGTGACGATTATTTGAACCGGTCATGTGCTTCCCCTAGGTCGACTCAGCCTCAAACGAGTACACGGTGCGGTGTGTAAACACAGAGGCGGCCGAGCGTGGTGCTGGCCACCCACCCGCTCATGTGCAATGCCGGTAGCCTTCATAGGTGCTACTCGCTAACAGCACTTGCCCCGACAGTCTGTTACAGGCTATACGAGGAATATTGGTATTTTGAGTAGGTGGGTGGGTGAATGGGTGAGTGGGTGGGTGAGTGGATGAGTGCGTGAGTGAGTAGGTGAGTGGGTGAGTAGGTGAGTGGCTTAGTAGGTGAGTGAGTAGGTGATTGGGTGAGTGAGTAGGTGAGTGGGTGAGTAGGTGAGTGGCTTAGTAGGTGAGTCAGTAGGTGATTGGGTGAGTGTGTAGGTGAGTGGGTGAGTGAGTGAATGGGTGAGTGAGTGGGTGTGTGAGTAGTTAAGTGGGTGAGTGAGTGTGTGAGTGTGTGAGTAGTTAAGTGGGTGAGTGGGTGAGCAGCTGAGTGGGTGAGTGAGTAGGTGAGTGGGTGAGTGAGTAGGTGAGTGGGTGAGTGAGTGAGTAGGTGAGTGAATGGTTAAGTGGGTGAGTGGGTGGTGGTGAGTGAGTAGGTGAGATGGGATGTGGTTGGGCTCATTGTGGGAGATTTTCTCACCGGCAGCGAACTGCATAGGGGGGGGGAGGGTGGTGGAGGCTGGCGTGAAAATGAATCTGAGGGTCTCCCGACGTGCTATTTGAGTGTTTAACTAGCGTGAATTATTGTAAATGATCCGTGCATAAAAAAAAAATCGCAATTGCTACAAATTACTGATTTCATCAGAGGTGGAGTCCCCCCCCCCCCCCCCCATTAAAGCTGTTAATTTGTGCCATCCTAATCTGCTGCGAACATCTTTACCGCGAAGAACAAGGAGCGCCCTTCCTCTCCGATATCAGGAAGCCACCGAGAGCTACGAACTTTGAAAGCGTCATCTCGATTGACAAACTCACTTCTTCAGAACTGCTCTCGTTGTGTTCAGTTTATTGTCCTTCCCCCCCCCCGTCGCCTCCGGTTAGCGCGGTTTGCTACGTACGGTGCGGGAGAAGTTCAAAGCAAAGACAAAGATCCCCCCCCCTGACTGTTGGGGCAAGTGCTGCTTGCTAGCGAGCACCTTTGAAGGCCGGCACTTTGGCACGCGAGGGGGGGCGGGTGGCCGGCACCACGCCCGGCCGCCTTTGTCTCCCCGGCGGCGATGTTTACTACACACCGCACAGGGGAATTCATTTAAGGCTGAGTTGACCCCACAACCCCCACCCCCCCCGTCTCACTCCCCAACCCCCACCTCACACCCCCCCCCCCCGCCCCCCCCGCCCCCCAGGCATGAGCTTCCAGGCGTTTGTGGACGCCTTCCGCCAGGTTGCCGGCCGGCGCTTCCCCTCGCTGCCGCTCAGCCTGCAGGTGGAGGCGCTGGTGGAGCTGTGCGAGGGACGCATCGAGAACGCCTCGCGACGGAGGGGCCCTGCTCAGCCTCAGCCTCAGCCTCCTCCTCCTCCTCATCATCATCCTCCTCATCCTCACCCCCGCCCGCCCCACACTCATCCGCCTCATCGCCGTCACCTCTCTCCTCACCGCCGTCGGCTCGCCCATTCGCCGGCCCGCCAGCCGACCTGCCCGTCGGCCGCCGACACCGCCGCCGAAACCGCCACCGCCGCCACCACCACCCGCAGCGGCGGCGACACCGCCACCCACGCCACAGCCTACAGCGGTGCGGTCAACACCGCCGGCGCTCGCGAGCAGCCAAGCCCAAAGTGACGCTCGTGCCAGGCCAGGCTCCCGCGCCGACGCCTTGCTGCCGGCGTCGCTGGAGCCGCGCGGGGCAGGCGGCCTTTCGCTTCACCTCTTGACCTCGGCCGCAGCCTTGGAAGCCATCGACGGGCCCGCGGAGTTTCCCCGTCGAGCACTCGTTCCCGCCGCTCCCAAAAAAAAAGAAAACACCGCTTGTTTTATTTGGCTCGTGCGTGCGTGCGAGCGTTTATCAGAGCGGGATGGTTTAAGAGTCGGAGCTCGCCGCCGATTGCATCGTGAGCTTTCACCGCGGGGGGAGAGAAGGGAGGGGGGCGCCTGGGTAAGGGAGGGGGGCGCCTGGGTAATGGAGGGGGGGCGAAGGTAATGCTGATTCTATGGCTCCCCTAAGCCACTTGAGAGCGAAAACACTTTTAACTGGTTAGACAAAAGAAAAATTACTTTGACGTTTAGTTTGTGAATAACCCATGGTCGACATGCCTATGTGTCTATGCAAATCTTCGGGCCCCGATATGAGTCTACGCGTCTATATAAGTATTTGGGTCTCTATGTGAGTCTATGGGTCTCTGTGAGTCTGTGGGTCTCTATATAATATTTGGGTCTCTATGTAAGTCTATGTGTCTCTGTGAGTCTACGGGTCTTTATGTGAGTCTATTGGTCTCTGTGAGTCTATGGTTCTCTATGTGAGACCAGGGCTTAATTTCAGTCGGGTCTGTCCAGATCAGTCAATATTCATGTGCCCGGCACACCACATCCAGTACACCATCTCACTCTGTAGCTGTGGCCAACTACAAGTTTAAGGGCAACCCACTTCAGTCAATCAGCGGCCAGGAAACTTTTCGGGAAGCATTTTTGTTATAACTTTACCAGGTGTAAGGACCCCACACCGAGGCGCTACTTAGCTCTCAGAAGCGACCGCCCGACCATCACAAACGACAGCTCGACAAAGGTGGCGGCTCGTCATCGTTGTCATCCTCGTCGTCGTCATCATCATCCTCAATTGATAATCATCGTCATCGCGTGGGAATTTACAACGGCGGACGAAATACTCAACGCCGCTCCGTCGCCACGAGCCGATCGCATTCCTTCACCACCGTTGAGCTTCTTGGGGTTGGCCAAACCTCCAAGTAGAGGACCACAGAGCTCGAGCAAATTGCCCGCGCCGGATCCCGGCTGCCTGTTTTATCCCCTGCTTCAGCGCCGCCGATTCACGGCGCTTTTGGGTGTTGGCGGCGGTTATTGACAGCGTTGATGGTTTGAGTGTTTCTGGTGGTGGTGATGGTGGCGATGGAGGTGGTGGAGGTAACGGTGGCAGTTGTTTTGGTGGCGGTGGTGGCGAACTAGATGGAGCAGTCGGGTGCGCCGGAGCGGGATACTGTAGTTCCGTAAGTTCCGGAACCGAGACCAGCCTTCATCCAGCAGTGGTTAGACAACAGCTGATGCGATGGATAATCTGTGAGATTTAGCGGCAACTTTTCATCTCTTGAAGCCTCTCGTTCTCACAATGCGGCGATTTTCGAACGTACCAAGTAGCAGACATTAGCCGTGCCAGTATTCATCCCTCCCACCACTCTTAATTGCTACGATAAAGCAGAGGGAGACACGAGGGGGGGGGTGATAATGTAAGGCCTCTACCGCTAATAGCAAAACTGGCTACTCAGTTGGGAGTTTCCACAGAAAGCATTACCTCCCTGCTGGGCAGGCTACTTCTTGTTGTCATACGGCTGCTAATGTAGACACTGAGCCAACAGCTTACAATGTCACATTCAGCTGGTCAAGCCAGCAGACAACCGCGTCGAGAGACAGCGGAGTTGTTGTGTCATCATCATCATCGCTGTGATGTCTCCATTAGTCTATGCGTTTCTATGGGTCTCTGTGAGTCTACGGATCTCTATGTGTCTGTGTGTCTCTATTAGCCTGGATCTCTATGGGTATCTATGAGTCTCTGTGAGTCTCTGTGAGTCTCAATTAGCCTGGATCTCTATGGGTATCTATGAGTCTCTGTGGGTCTCTATGAGTCTGGATCTCTATGGGTATCTATGAGTCTCTGTGGGTCTCTATGAGTCTGGATCTCTATGAGTATCTGAGTATTTTTGAGTCTCTATTAGTCTGGTTCTCTATGGGTATCTGTGAGTCTCTGTGGGTCTCTATGAGTCTGGATCTCTAAGAGTATCTGAGTCTCTGTGAGTCTCTTAGTCTGGTTCTCTATGGGTATCTATGAGTCTCTGTGGGTCTCTATTAGTCTGGATCTCTATGGGTATCTGTAAGTCTCTGCGTATCTCTACGAGTCTGGATCTCTAGGGGTGTCTACGAGTCTATTATTCTTCTGTCGTACTGCTGCTGATGTAGATGCAGTGCCAGCAACTTAAAATGTCACATTCAGGTGGTCAAGCCAGCAGATAACCGCGTCAGGAGCAGAGTAGTGGTATCGTCGCTGTGATGTCTCCTTCGTATTTGTGGATTGGCAGGGCATTGCGTTGTTACATGTTGCACTACGGCCTCTGTTCTGGATGACCACAGTCGCACACCACCACCACCACCACCCACCACTACTACCGGAGAGTTTGTAATTTTCCACTTGTGCATCAGGTATCATCCCGCATCTGCTGCTGCCACGATTTGTGTGCGGATGACGAATGCACCAGGTCACACTCTCGCAACTGAGGCTCCATCCTGACTGACCTCTTTTGAGTCTGGTTAAACAAAATAAACGCGAGCGTGCAGTGCAACTCCGCCGTTCATCTGGCCGGAAGGTTGCACGAAGTTCAAATCCTGGTTGGGGGTTCAACTCGGACCATCATCCCTCCCTCGATAAAAAACAAAAACAAGCACCACTTTGTGAGAAAGTCAACAGCACTTATCCTCTTCTGAATAGACTCTGCCCCGCCATAGCAATGTGTAATTCTCACCACTGACTTTTGCGGGTCCGCACCTCGGAAATGAGCATGGTTGACGTACGCACGGAGGCGCCACTGAGCAACGGGAAATCAACGGCGACTTGAACAGCGACTACGGTCACGCTGGCACGCAGAATCAGCTACGAAGCAAATCCGATGAGCTACGAAGCTCTTTTTCTCACAGATGGTCCAGTATGGCCATGGGGTCAGAAAGTCACAACGGCCAACGCGTTATACACGGGATTAAGACCGCGTCGTTTCCGGTAGTTGATCATTCGCGAAGCACGCGTGCGGCGCGCGTTGGTAATTCGCCAACGAGCCGGATCGCCGCGCCGGGCTGTCCAATGTCGGCACGGCCCGCGCCCAAAACGACGACCCGGTCTCGTGGCGGCGCGCGTGGCGAGCGTCGGGCGCCGACCTCCGGACCCGTCGCTCGGGACTTCACCTCGTTTGTTGCACCCTGCGCAAAAAGCCCAACGCTCTCAGGAGGAGTTTTGATTTAAAGCTTTCGTGACTGCAGTAATTCGTATTCTTAGTTTTTTTTTTCGGTAAAGTCACGTTGAAGGGAAACAACCAAAAAATAAAATATATATAAAACAATAAAAAAAATTCTCACGACGTTTCGACCATAACTCAAACGGTCGTCATCAGGTGTGTTGGTTTGCATAAAATTATTTTTAAACGGCGCATTTATTTGTTTATAAAAAAAACGTTAGCGCCACGCGCAACGATTTGGCAGTTTATTTAGGACTAGTCCATCTATATTCTGAAAAGAGGAGGGGGGAGACGAAATTTTGTATAATGTATGCTGTCTGAAAGCCACTGTAAGCATGAACAATCAATTAAGACCTGAAATGGTTTATCAAATCTTTCCAATGATTGCTAAGATAGAATCCATCTTCTCGGTTGAAATTGTCTCTGTGCTTGTATATGTGGATAGCCTCAGGAGTGTCGCCTACGCCCACATCGAGAAGTTGCAGAAAGGGATCGAAGTGCAATTCATAATGAATGGTTTTGGATGGAATCGATGCGGCGGGGTGTGTGTGTGTGTGTGTCGATGCGTATGGTGAGCGAAGTAGTTTGGGAAAACAAATTTTGAACAAAAATATTTATGTTGGGGCGGGACGCACTGGGGAGTTACCATTGAACATTATTCGGAATATTGGATAATTCGGCAAGGCCCGAGCCCCATATGTGTCGAATTAACAAGGATTTACTGTACGGGGGACTCAACTACTGACGAACATTCGACTTCAGTGATACGAACAAACCTGCCCCGTATGTCCAGTTGCCCGTTCGGAACGAGTCGTAAGTTCAACCGCCGCGCAATAGATGGCGGTGGTGGCATCTACATCTGCAGAACGTGAAGAACCAGTGGCATCTACATCTGCAGAACGTGAAGAACCAGTGGTATCTACATCTACAGAACGTGAAGAAGCAGTGGCATCTACAGAACGTGAAGAACCAGTGGCATCTACATCTGCAGAATGTGAAGAACCAGTGGCATCTATATCTGCAGAACGTGAAGAACCAGTGGCATCTACATCTGCAGAACGTGAAGAACCAATGGTATTTATATCTGCAGAACGTGAAGAACCAATGGTATTTATATCTGCAGAACGTGAAGAACCAGTGGCATCTACATCTGCAGAACGTGAAGAACCGGTGGCATCTACATCTGCAGAACGTGTAGAACCAGTGGCATCTACATCTGCAGAACGTGTAGAACCAGTGGCATCTACATCTGCAGAACGTGTAGAACCGGTGGTATCTACATCTGCAGAACGTGAAGAACCAATGGTATTTACATCTGCATAACGTGTAGAACCAGTGGCATCTACATCTGCAGAACGTGTAGAACCAGTGGCATCTACATCTGCAGAACGTGTAGAACCGGTGGTATCTACATCTGCAGAACGTGAAGAACCAGTGGCATCTACATCTGCAGAACGTGAAGAACCGGTGGTATCTATGTCTCCAGATTATTTGCATTGTCTTTGTACTGTTCGCCTTTGGCGTTCTCTGGTCTGACACTGGACCAATCAGTTTCAAACAAAATGCATGAATAATTATCCTCGCATTTTTGTTGTTGTTTGCATGTTCACCACAAGTACTGTATGGGGTTAAGGCCGACAGGACTCCTTGCAGAAGGTTTCTGTTTGGTGTTTGAACATCTGTACACCTCCTGTGTTATTGCCAGAGAGGGTTAAAACCTATTATTATATTTTTTTCAAAGCCATGCCTGTTGCTACCTTCTAGTCCGGTATAGCAAGCGACCTGGGCACTT